GAAGGACTGATATCGCTTTACATTTGAGTACTCTTTTCTTTGTTTCTGACCAAGTTTTTCTTTTTCTTAATATTTTACTTGGCTTTCAGAAGGCATTTTTCGCAATAAAATGCGCCTTCAGGTTTCAGTGTCGCACTTAGCGTATTCTGTTAAAACACTTCCCAGATATTTCAATTGTTGTATTTTTTTTAAAAGGAATTCAGCCCAAGCTAGGCGGGAGTGTCACTAGCACGGAACGGGTTACAGGGGATTGAGATCAGTAGTGAACAGGCATGTTTGGGGAAAGGATACAGGGAAGGACGGGGAACAAGCTCAGGGTGTCAGATGTCGATTGACATTACACTTGAATATTTGAAGATTATAGTCATCACGGAAGCAAGTAAGGGGAAGGGAGTTCCACAGACGGGAAGTGCAGGAGAAGAAGCTGTTTGAGTAGAAGTGACGGTTACATTTGACCGTTTTGACAGTGAGGGTGGGGTCGAGATCACATCGTTGTAGCTCCCTTAAATTCATGCAGTCTGGGAACCAGCGAAAGTAGCTCGTTGGAACAGTTGCCGTGAAAATACTTGTAGAAGAGACAGAGGGAGGCCACGGCACGTCTGTGGGGTAGCGATTGTAGACTAGATGCCAGATCAGGACCTATCACATTGCATATTCGTCTCTGGATTTTGTCGGGGACCTCGAGACGTACAGCGGGAGCACCAGACCATATATGACAGCAATATTCCATGCAAGAACGGATAATTGGTTTATAGATATGGGCACGAGAAAAAAATTTACGGCACGACACAGAGAGCCAACTTTCCTTGCAGTAGATGAAGCTATTGATTCAATATCTTTATCCCATCTCATGTCAGTGGAGAGCGTGAGACCAAGCAGGCGTAACGAGGCGCTCTCAAGGAGTTGAGAATCTTCCACTGTTTGATTTTTGTATTTTCAATTTGTAACTTGCCCGTTGGACAGTTCGTTTTGTTAACAACCATTCATTCTATCTTTTTGTAGTTGATGCTTAGTCCTTTCTTCTCGCTTTCCATCATTACCTTCTATAATTTTCTTTCCTCTGCCTACTATCAAAACTGCGTGAACTTGTTAAGATTTTGGCCGCCAACAATAAATTCTAGTAGGCTTCCTAATTCTCTCAGAATCGCCTCGCTCTATAGGTTGAATAAGTCCGGTGAGAAGACGCATCCTTGTCTTATACCCCATTCTTTTTATTTCGTATATCTATTGAGTATATGTGAGCACACCGTATAAATTTTTCAAATAATATCAACCCGGGCATTATCTCTCTATGTATCTTTAGTTGTATCTGTTAGCATGGAGGCATCACTTGATTGCGATATATCCGCGGTTGCATTTTTCGATTTATATGCCTAAGTGAACGCTTGACGTAACATAAACATCCATTACTTCAAGGGTGGGATCAATTACTCGCTTTAGAGTCATAAAAGATTTTACAGCTGTTATCAGCTTAGTGATTAAGCCATTTCACAGATGCCATCACGGTGGGGAAACAGAGCATCCTTTCAGTGCACCGTCGATTATTTACACAATAAAATGGTCTGAGCCTCTCCGTCGAGGTTTACTGTACAAAGTAAATAAGTGCTCTAAATCGTACTGCTTTCAGACTTTTCTGAATTTCGGTCAGCCCTCGAGTTGAAAGCACCGCACAAAAAGACGCCTCAGAATGAAAACGTTAAGCTGTTTCTTTTGCTCCGATGTTTAAAGGACGCCATAAACGTGTACGCAATTTAAACACTCATGAGTGAGAGATAATACGATAAATAACATTCCATTCGTTGAGTTGTTCCAGATTTACTCATGAACCGTCATTCGAAATCATATTCAGAAAGCAAGGAAGGCGAAAGAGAAAAGTTTATTTACGCTAGAGTTTTATTGAAATAATCACTAACTGAAAGAGAGGTTGAGTTTCAAGATGGCTACCCAAAAGTAGTTTCGCACACAATTGGTGCAACCCTCACTAAGTGCTGCTGTTTCACAGACTAAACTAAGCGAGGTTGCGTTTCAAGATGGCTACCTATTCGCCAACAGAGACCCTATTCGCCAACAGAGACGCATAAGTACTATTGGTAAATAAATCCCTAGCAAAATGAACGTCTCGCTTTGGAATAATGAAACAAAAAGTAGTTTCGCAGACTAAACTAAGCTGAGTAGGTATTTATACTCACATTTAGGTCGATTTTACGTATAATTAAATAGCTAAGGTACTAGCATTTCCATTTGGGAAAGCTAAGGTTAATCCCTGACGACTAAGACGTCATCAAAGGTGAAAAGCGAAGGAAACTTTACTGTTTGATCTCTGGTCCTTTCTACGCGTTGGACTCGAACCTGTGCCGTATTATATACTAGAGGTTGTTCGTACACATCATTTGTTTATTTATGTGTCATCAGACATTTATATTTCATTATAACTCTTCCCAGCTTCCTGTTCTAAGTGGCGTTTGACACCATCCATTCACGAAAACTCGTTAGGTAGTTTACTTGATGATTTTTATTAACCTCCAGCCCTCAGGATGTCTTGTGGATGTTCAATTCCTGAGGACGTCTTTTCTCATTATGCGTCCAAAAGATTTCATATGTCACTTTTCTGATTTTAAGTATAAGTATCCTTTTTGTTGCTATTTGAATTAAAACTCCTTCGTTGCTCACAGGTTCAGTACTTCGTATTTTCAGCACCCTTCTGTGGAAATCACTACTCTGTGTTAAAACTGTCTCGCATTTACTGCCTTATAGGAGGATCGATGTGAGAGATGATTTTAGTAATTTCTTTTGATGAAATTTTCCAACGAATTTAATTACTTTCTGGAAGGCATCTTTTAGAGACTTTGATTTCGAACGGGCATATCAGGTTTTGAAAGCATTGAGACAATATTTGAAAGGGGTTTAGCAGACAACAAAATATATGAGACAGAATTGCAAAAGCGAAAGTATTAAGATACAGGGAAATTTGTATAGAGAAAAAGAAGTGTGTTAAACTGCTATGTAATATCAGTCCTCCTATATGGCAATGAATGCTAAACAAGGTCGTCACAATTGAAGGGGAGACTTGAATCAACAGAAACAAGGTAAAAGAAATCTGAACTGCTCTGTAATGTCAGTCCTCCTATATGGCAATGAATGCTAGACAAGTTCATCACAGTTGATGGAGAGACTTCAAGCAACAGAAAGAAGGTAAAAGATATCTGAAATACTGTGCAATGTCAGTCCTCGTATATGGCAATGGATGTTGGACAAGTTACTGACGGATAAAGAGAAGACTTGAAGCAACAGAAACAAAAAGTGTGCTGAACTGCTATGTAATATAAGTCCTTCTATATTGTAGTGAGTTCTGGACAATTTCTTCTCAAAGAAGAGGAGACTTGAAACAACAGAAACAAAGAAAAATATTTCTGAACTGTTATATAATATCCGTCTTCCTATATGGCAATGAATGCTAGACAAGTTCCTTACAGATAAAGAGGAGACTTGAAGCAACAGAAACAAAGAAAAAGGGTTGTGAACTGTTATATAACATCAGCCCCCTTCATGTCAATGAATTCTAGACAGTTACCTCACTGATAAATAGAATACTTGAGATTTTATTAATTCTGACTTCCTCTTTAAGGGTTTGACACAAACCCTTTTTTATGTGGGTGCCCATACGCGTAAATATGTGCCAAGGAGAAAAAAAAAACTGCACAGTCTCTGCGAACTTTGCGTCCATATTACGCCGGCTCCACCTCTCTTTCTGCAATTTGACATGCGCAGTTGCTGGCTTTGAATTGACGTCTTCTACCTTCTAAAATTAAACCAACTGATATTACGTTTTGATCCCGGACCGGAGCCTAATAGTTAGAGATGCAGTTGCATTTACTATTTCCGTATATCTGTGCAATATTACTCGATATTCGTCAATATATATATATATATATATATATATATATATATATATATATATATTTACAAATTCATGAATTATTCATACAAAAAAAAATACAAAGGTTAATGATTTAAATTTAAAAATTGTAAAATTTAAATTCAAACAAAGCGTTGCGACTGCACGCTCCAAAAACAATAACTCATTTCTAATAGCATTTTTCGGATTACAACAATACATATATTTTCGTTGTCCTCTTATTACTGAGAGTAAAAACAAGAACAAAATCTATTCCATACCTGAGGATGTCTGTAGGAACAGACGAAAGCTTGTAAAAATAATAAGAACTTACGCAACAGAAATTTATAAAAAACAAGGATCTTTTCATTCATAAACAGGTTCGAGGTTTTTGTATATTATTTGAATTGTACGCGACGATGGATTTCCAGCCAATTAAATCATTAACCTTTGTATTTGTTTTTTGTATGAATAATTCATGAATTTGTAAATTAATTGCACCTTTATTGAAATTAAAATAACTGATCCAAGTGCAACTTTTGGATAATAAGTGCGACATTACTGTAGTTATAGAACAATAAGTTCATGCGACTATGACAGAAAATTCACTTATCACCATATTTGTACAAGAACGCACAATTGTAAAATTTAAATTCAAACTCTATGAAAATCTCTCGGACATTCAGGCCGGTAAATGTTGCTTAATATTGTTTATTATAAAACAGAGCATTTACTTAAATATTTGTATCCATAAAAAGAATGTATAAACATAAAAATGTCTTAATATATATATATATATATATATATATATATATATATATATATATATATATATATATATATATATATATATATATATAATATATATATATATATACCATCACGTGAAAATCCATCTGAAAATAAAGTACTCCCATACATGGAAATGAAGTATTACGGAAGTGAAATACTCCGGAAATGAAGTACTCTGGTTAGGGGGGATTGGAATCAAGTGCTGCTAAAATCGACAATACCTATGTTGTGTGTGAATGACCATTACGAGAAGCGAGTAAGGTGGTGGTTGGTTGTATGGAGAAATGACCATTCCTGATTGGATGTAATTCGATCAATTTGGCACATGGTTCTCGACAAAAATCATGTTCGCCTTCAGTTCGACCACAAAATGCCGTTGGCAGGAATCGATGAGCAAACGAGTAAACACGAAGACATTTAAGGAAAAAGAAAACACAATGAGAGGAAAGAAAGCGTGTGACAAAGAGGACATGATAAATGTTGTTAGATGAGGAAGAAAGAAAGAGGAAATGTTGAGAAACAAAAGAATTAAGAAAGGAGGACGGGAAGAAGAGAAGAAGAAGAAGAAGAAGGAGGATGAGGAGAGGATGAAGAGGAAGAAGAGGGAGAAGAAGAAGAAAGGATACTGATAAAAAGAAGAAGATAATAAAGGAGGAGGAGGAGATGAAGAACAGGAAGAAGAGGGGGGTAAAAGAAGTAAAAGAAGAAGGCGATGAAGAAAAGGAAGAATAATAAAAAGAAGAAGAAAATGAACAAAAAGATTGACGAAGAGAAAAAGAAGTGGAGCAAGAAAAAAAGGAGATGAAAAGGCAAGTAGAAGAAAGAGGATATGAAGAAGAGGAAGAACAGGTAGAAGAAAAAAGAAGAAGGCAATAAAGAGGAAGAAGATCAAGAAGAAAAATAATGATGAAGAAGAAGAAGAAGAAGAAGAAGAAGAAGAAAACGAGGGGGAAGAAGAAATTATAAGGAAACTGAGGAAACAATTTGAATAAATGAAAAAAGAAAGTGAAAATATGTGTAGTTAAAAAGAATACAAAAATGGTTGAAGATAGAAAAGAAGAAAACAATCACAAAAAGATTGAGAGAAAAGCGATGAAGGAAGAAAGAAAAAACAATGGACAATAGCAAAACAAGAAAAGAAGTTGACGAATAAACAATAGGAAAATACGAATGAAAATGAAAAGAAAAAAGAAGATAAAAACTAGAAAAAGAGAATATAAAACGGTTGAAAGAAAGAAAAAGAAAGAAAAGAAGAAAGAAAAATAAGTTGAGCAATTCTAAAAAAACTGAAAGGAAAAAAGAAAATAGAGAAATAGCAAACAATAAGAAGGATAAGAGTAAGAAACTACTAAAAAAGAAAAAAAAAAGCATGAAGAAAAGAATTATAGTAAGGAAAAAGAAAGAAAAAAACGAAATGGAGGGATATTAAGAAAGAAAGAAAGAAAAGAAAGAAAGAAAGAAAGAAAAGATAAAAGAAAGAATGAAAAAAAATGAAAGAATGGAGAAATTTATGAGAGTAAAGTTTGAGAGAAATAAAAAAAAACAAAAACAAAAACATAAAGGAAGACGATGAAGAAAAATATGGAGGACGAGAAGGGGGAGAAGAAGAAGTAAAAGAAGAATGAGAAATAAAAGAAGAAGAAAAAGTAAAGAAGAATGAGAAATAAAAGAAGAAGAAGAAGAAGAAGTAGTAAAAAAGAAGAATAAAAAAATAAAAGAAGTAAAAGAAAAATGGTAAATAAATGAAAAAGAAGAAAAAGTAAAAGAAGAATGAGAAATAAAAGAAGAAAAAGAAGAAATAAAAGAAGTATAACAAAAAGGAGAAAAGAAAAAGTAAAAGAAGAAATAAAAAGACGAAGAAGAAAAATAAGAAGAAAAAGACGGAAAAGAAAAATAAGAAAATGAAAAAAGAAGACGTAAAAGAACAATAGCAACAAATAATAATAATAATAATAATAATAATAATAATAATAATAAGAAGAAGAAGAAGAAGAAGAAGAAGAAATAAGCCATAATGAAAATGATGTACAATTGAAGAAAACTAAAAAAAAAAAAAAGACAGGAAAATAAAAAAAAATTGTATTGGCAGCAGCAGTAGAGGGAGAAGAAGAAATAGAAAAAAAGAAAAAAGAAAAGAATAATTAAAAGGAGGGAAGAAATGAAACAAAAAAGAACAAATATTATAACCATAATGATTCAAAGAAGGAATAAAAAAAAAAAGAAAGATGACGGATCGATAGAAAGAAAAAAATGCGAGTCAACGAGTAGTTAATGAAGAGATCGCAGGAAAGAACATCTCGTTCCGTCGTTGTCATTTCTCGGCGTTTCTCGGGCGTAATGACGAAATCTCATTCGGGATTTTGTCCGAAGAAAATGTTTTTTGCCCCGAAGTAATTTTCAATTTATCGATACAAAACTGCACGTCACGGGTAAATACGGATTTTTATGTCCGAATTTGCATTGTCAGGATTGGATCGATTATCAATTGGCAGAAAATTAGGGACATGCCGCAACGATTCGAAATTATCGATAACTTTAGTTTACTTTTAGCAAAATCAAGAAAAGATCTTTCCATACCACATCTTCTTTTAAAAATACCATGGCCCTTCAGGTCCTAAGCGATCAAGACTATTGACAGATTATTTTTTCTTTATTATCGATAAATTGACACGTCTTCTTGGGGAAGATAGTGGCTCATTGATTTATCTTTGCTTTCTCGATAGTTTAGAATTACGATAAAATATGGTTTAGTCCCCAGAGACTTTTATGCTGTCATGGTGGCTACATTAAGTGATGACGCTTCAGCTTAATGGAAAGTGTAAAAGTGGGCTGCTGAATTTAGAAAGAGAAAGGATTGTCTAGAACTGTGAAATCTAGAATGCAGCAATTTTAAACCTGCTTATTAATATCCGCATTGTTTATCTCCAGTTAAATTGACAGACATCTGATTCTTCAAAGAACACATCAAAGGTAGCAATTTGAAAATTTCATAGGCTAACTAGGAAGGAGTGATGCTAGAGCTTTAATCTTGCTTGCATTAATTTCAAATCTGCTTATTAATAACAAAATTTCTCCGTAGACCCCGTATAAAACGGCGTCGGGTATCTGTTTCCCGAGACGAGAATCTGCCCTTCGACATAGCCTCGTTTGGGGATCCTCTCTGCTCAGAGGCAGAGAGTTTGACGAGCACAGCTGGAGACGAATCTCCAACTGCAGACCAACATACAGTATTTACAACTGGATTTATGTGAATGGAGACATACCCATTATCGTCCGTAGGTATGCTACAACAAATACGAAGTAAAGACTGGATTAAAAAAGACATGGAACAAATTGAAAAAAAAAAAAAATTGAAATATCATTTAAAACCACAATCCTTGAAGATTGGAAATTTTAACAAGAAACTTCGAAGTCTGGATAAAATTGATATTTAAAAGTTAAGTAAACTTTTCATATAAACTGTTATAACATAGGGGAGGTTACTGAATAGAATAATCACACAAAGTTTGGTAAACTATAATACTTAGGACAAAAACAACACATATAAGATTCGCTAGTAGCGCGTAGAAGTCGACAACTGCTAGAAGTGAGTCAAGTCAATTCCACAATGAAGGTCCATCTGCAGACCAACATACAGTATTTACTACTGTATTTATGGGAATGGGAATATACCTATTATCATTCGTAAGCATGCTACAACAATAATCAAACTATTTAAGTAACTGAATGAATGTCGACAATATCTTACTGCTTCGTGGGGAATCTATTCCCTGAAGCCGATTTATTATGCATACAGAGTTGCTAAACTTGGTTAGCTGTCCTTGAATAAATTATAATTTATTCACTCGTTAAAATCTAAGAAATGTGATAGTCAGGAGAGAGGCGTTGAACGTAAGCTGCCTGGCCAATCGGTGTCCATTCTCCAGAGTGACAGCACATGCATTGTCTGACTTACGTTTTCCATTGCCTTAGTATTAAAGTCGCATCATAAAAGCAATGGACGGCCAAGTCAACTCGCAAGTAAGACCTTAATTCACTTCTTCTTTTTTTTCTATATTTTCTCTATATTCGGTTCATTAGCTGAGCAAGCTGTTGTTGTATCCAAGTTCTATATATTTATGAAGACACTATTTCGTCTCAAATATATAAAAGTGTGTGCGTGCGCATGTGTGCGCGCATGTTTGCATGTATATATATATTCAGGCAACAATAAATAAAATACAGTTATAAACCTAACTTTCCACAATTAATACCCTAATAAGATAACAGCAAGCCGGGTAAAAAGAAAAATCTATCAACTGCCAAATAAGAAAAACGAAATAATGAGGAAGCGAAGACATATAAACAAATATTTTTTTTTTATAAGCAATTCGCCTCAAGCAAGGCAGGAGAGCCAGTAACACGCAAGGGGTTACAGAGAGCGAGAGTAAGAGTAAAGAGGAGTGCTTGGGAAAAGGATAAAGAGAAGGACAGAGATCAAGGTCAACTCATCAGAAGATGTCGATTGACATTACATTTGAATATTTGAAGATTATAGCTATCAGGGAAGCAAGTAAGAGGAAGGGAGTTCCACTGACGGGAGGTGCGAGATAAGAAGCTGTTGGAGTAGAAGAGATGGCTACCTTTAGCCGTTTCGACAGTGAAAGGTTGGGACCGAGATGCCAACCTAGTAGCGCGCTTAAATTCATGCAATTTGAGAACCAGTGAAAGTAGCTCGTAGGAGCAGCTGACATGAAAGTACTTGTAGAAAAGACAGAGGGAAGCCACAGCACGTATGTTATTTACGATTACGTTGCCATGAAAGCATTAATAATTTAAAAAAAAAGGATTATTCGAACAAGAAATAAATAAATAAAAAACTGAATACTCAATTTTCAAAAACATTAGAAAACACCAGAATATTAAAAAAAAAAATTAGCCCAAATATGAGTCCTTTCTCTGACACCGGAAATAACTATTTTTACATTATCCTTTGACACTCACAGGTGAAAGATAGAGAAAAGAAAGAAAAGCGGTAATGACATTGTGTGAGGAGGCAAGACATTTATGAAAAGGAGAGATATCGACATCTTACATATATGCCCATACGCACATATACATAATTTTACACGCATACAAACACACACAAAAAGAAGAAAAAAATCAACTTAACACTAATAAAAAAAAGCGCATAAATTATCATTTTATAAGGCTAAATATAAAAATGAGAAAAATCAACAGACAATTACTGATACCTCCTGACGAATGGACTGAGCGATTGCACTATCATTCGTTTACGAGACTCTGGAGTAGAGGTGCTGAATATGGCTTCAATCAGTATCCACTATCCTTCTCCTCATCCTTTCCTCTATCATTCCTATCTGCTCTCGCTCCAACTCTCTGTAACCCCTTGCCTACTAGTGGCTTCCCGCCTTGCTTGGGGTGAATCGATTAAAAAAATTACTTGTTATATATATATATATATATATATATATATATATATATATATATATATATATATTCTCAAATGGAGTATATCTGTAGAAGAGACAAAACGAATAAAAAGACATCCAAATAGTCACAACGACTTCCAATTATTATGTACATTATTTACATTTCAAGAACACCAGAAAGCTGTAACACGGGGGAGAGAGAAAATCAGGCGTGGCTGACCATATATGGAGAGAGAATGGAGATCACGGCCCTCTGTGGGATCATGTTGAGATCATTGACAAGGAACCATTGGAAAATTCGTAAACTTAAGGAATCAGCACATATGCTAGGCCACAAAAATCTCCTGAGACGACCAAGCATAGAAATAAATACAATATGGGAACCAGTAATAAGGAGTCCCAGAGAAAAGCAATAACAACATAGTTGCAATATGAGCTCTGGTAAAAACATGTAATGATAACAGCAAAATTGCAGTATGAGCACTGGTAAAAATGGTTGCTGAAGACATTAGGTTTATAATACCCAGAAATTCATACCCAGATGTCCTCAAGGCACAGTGGATAAAGGCGTTGGTTAGATCCAGTAACAGGACCCAAAGAGTGTGAATTCAATACTCGGTTAAGGCAGTGGAGAACTTTCAGAGGGAAATTAACAGGAGATAACTGATAACTGACATCCATCAAACATGGCACGTGGAACTAGAACAGTCTACCCCAGTGAGCGAAATAAAAGGTTCGGTTCGACATTCCAACCACCTGAAGAAGGCCGGAGCTACAACGGCCGAAACGTTGTGATAGATATGGCGAAAAAGATGAGGACAATAGTCCGAATAATGTAAATAATATACACAATTTTGATCTAAACAATTTCACATTCATCAAAAGAGAAACTAATTTACTCAGAAGGAAAATTCTCAAGAGTGCCGCCATTGAATATTATCAAAATATCAATCTACAATCCCAATGTCAACTTTCCTGAAGGAATTGCGTCACATTTTCAGAATTGCAGATGTGGAGCCTCCATCAATGATTTGGTTTGCATCCTCTCTCCTGTCGTCGTAGTGCCAGCCGATTTCCATAGCATGCAGCCATCAACGACATCATTAAAAGAGGTTTGGATGCAGCTGGATTCCCTTCCCATATCGAACCCGTAGGCATCGACCGCGGTGATGGAAAGCGGCCGGATGGCATTACCATTTTCCTTTTTAAAATGGGGAAGTCGTTGATGTGGGATGCGACCTGTGCGGATACATTTTCGGTCGGTAATTTGATCAGTTCCGCGGTTGAGCCAGGATCCGTCGCCCGGGACGTAGGGATAAAAAAAAAATAGTTAAATATTCTTCTCTTGCTGATAGATTTTTTTTTTTTTTACCCTGTGGCAGTAGGAGACTTCAGGGGTTATTGGCCCTCGTTCGATGGCGTTCCTTCGGAGGATTAGCGCGATTGCGTCTCGATTAAGGGACGAGCCTCGTGAAACGGAGTGGCTCTTGCAGCGTGTCTCACTGGCGATGGTTCGAGGTAATACTTTCTCCATCATTGCGGCTGGCAGAGGGTAGCAAAAAATTGTTTTAATTTACGTTGTTCTGGAATTGTCATCAGCGGTCAACTGAACTTGTTTTGTTTCAATAAATTTATTCTGAGATTACTATTTTCTAAAGCCACCATGCACAAGTAATGTGCTGAAATATCAAAAGAAAACGGCTGAGTCCACTATTTCAGTCTTTGGTGATGCATAACCGAAACGTCCATATCATTTTA